GGGGTTTACTATCACGTCCTGTTGGCTGTTCATTGAAGAACATGATATGGCTGGCGCAGGCTATAGCTCGCCTACACAACTTTTGTATTAATGAGCGACTCGAAACGGCGGGCCCAACGACAGAGCCTGCCACCAATGTGAACGGCACTGGCTACATTCCCAGCGTTCCGCATGATGTGAATGGTGATCCTGTATGACTTGACAATGTTTATTCGAGCTGTGAGGGGATGTCGTACCTACGGGAATTCATGGCCAACAGAGTCAAGCGCCTACAGCTGAAAAGACCGTCGCGCAACAAAAAACGTAGAAGGGAAGAAGAATCGTAACACAGTAATCACACCTATATATTATTCCGTTCCTATATATTAATATTCCGTTCCGACAATGAGGGAAGATTCAGCCGGAATGTTCAACTTCTTTTCGAGTCGACCAAGTCGAATTTCCATGACTCTCGCAAGGGGAGCGCTGGAGGAGTCACCGCTTTCTATTTCCGCCCTGATTTTCAGGTACTGTTTGCCAACCACCAGATAGCTGTCCCAGAGATTCTTATCCGCGGCATCCTCCGTAATCTCTTTCCTTTGGACAATAGATTCTTTCAGGTCAGAACTGACGCTGGTGATCGATGCCATGACGTCTGCCGCAGCTTGTTTGCCGCCTTTACCGGCAGCATCAGCGCTTCCTGTCATATCGACGGTGGAATCACTCTTCAAACTGGCTTCGAGAAACGTGGCAAATTTGCCTTCAATTGTGGGATGGAGTTTGCAGAGATAGGCACAATAGTACACCGCTATGGCAGGTACGGCCGCCATTCCCTTCCGAGGAGTACACCACCTCTTCACTATGCAATAAGTCCATATGTCATTGCTATGATGGCCCGATATCTTCATTTGTGCAAGACAATTATCTTTGGACTTCATCAAATCGCTCATCAGCCGCTGAACTGACTTGTTGTTCTGGTCACGGTAAATGTCATTCAAGTTGAAACCGAATTCGGCACTGTACGCAAGTAGATGTTCGTCTTCCCCCTCCTGGAGACCCAAGACGTCGTCAAATTGTTTTTCACCAACCGTCTCATTCGTCTCATTCATGTGCACTGAAATGAGAAGCCAAAAGTCCTTGAATGGATTTCCGGTAACACCCTGCTGTGAAAGAGGCTCCCGTTCGAAGTCCTTTCGATTATTGCTGTCGTTGAGGGAGACGAAGTGAGGGTAAATAGTAGGATGGAAGCATATATTGAGGACTTTGACGAGAGTGTTGATCCTCTTGGCTAAGGGATCCAACGCAAGGTTTGAAACTGTCGTGTCGTTGTACATGGTTCCCATCTCAATACTGCGCGCAATCTCCTTCCTAGCATCGTACATTGTCATGCTGCCTCCTCCCTTGACTTGACACTTCAGAGTGAGTTCACGGATCTGTACGCTACTGAATTTGGACAGATCAAATGTCATTTCGTTTGGTTCTCCTTTGTCGTAGATCAACGTCTTGGCCACACGGTACATCTCCTTATCTTTCGGATTCTCTTCTTCACCGCAGACTATTTGCTTTTTCAAGGGGTCGTACTGGCTGATCACAACTTTGATGCGCTCTGCCTGCTTAGCATCGGCCACCTTCTTCGCTATTTTCTCGTCCTCTTTCTTCTTCTTTTGTTCGGCCTTTGCCGCTTCCCTCATGACCTTTCGCTCTGACGGGGATGCAGACCTAGCACGGACAGCAGGCGAAGGGGAGCTAGCACGATACCGTGGCGGCCGCTCCCGTGACTCTTGCGCTTTGAGTTGTCCCATGTACATGTCTTGGGCAATCGGATCTTCGTAATATGGCAGTGGTGGTAGCGGCACTGCGAGGGCTCGCTGTTGGTGGAGTTGCTGCGTCTGCAGCTGGCGCTTTTGTTGTAGATCCCACAAGCTAAGACGTGGACGCCCACCAACAAGGAAATTCGCTGCGGGAATTGAGGCTGCTGCTGCGACTGCTACGACTGGGGCTGCATCCACTACTTCGGCAGCCAATACTTCGGCTTCCTCTTCGTCTCTCTTCCTCTTGTACCGCTCATCAGACTCCCGCATTTGCCGTTCTATATCTTGGCTAGAACCATCGCTATCATCTAAAGCCATGACAACGACAACGACAACGGTTGGAGTGCAATTCGATTCGGTTACGGGGATAGGAAGAACTCAAAAAAAGGGAAATTGTGGTGAAAGAGGAGCCACATATGGATGCACATGATGATTGCCTGTGGATCCACATGCACGAGGATAGCTATGGCAACCCACGAGATTCTATCAAAGAACAATCATATGCGATTTTCACGAGTTTTCCTGACGTACGGTGATTGCGTTTTGGCAGAATCTGGTGGGTTGGCCATTTTCGTTAGAGTTGGGGATTCGTTGGGACTGACGTTTTCGGAAGCTCGGCTGGCTCTAAGCGAAATCCATTTCCACGAAAGCTGCGGTACGGCGAATTGAGAATGTGAAATCAATGGTTCGCCGTACCGCAGCTTTCGTGGAAATGGATGGAAAGCAAGCCGATTTTAACAGTTAAATATATTTCACGAACGAAGGGAGGAATAAAGAGGTATAAATAGCTGGTTAGGACCCCGCCTGAACTCCAAGCTACGCCACCGGCTGTGCACTCTAATCAACACCAGCGCCATTCTAAGAAGTGACAATGTGCACCGAGCTGAGTTGTCTGATTTTTTTGGTTTGAGGCCTCCAAAAAGAGATATCGATGTGCATCAGCCATATGTCATTATCCTGCAGATGGCTTTTGGGAAAACGAATCATGTCAGGAAGACATTCGGTCGGCTCACTCGTCATTTGGATGTACGCCTTTGTTGTGTTAACGCCCTTGCCTCCTATCTGCAGGTTCGTTTTGATGTAACACGTGAATTCGAGAGCGCCGAAGCATCTGATTGGATCGACAACAAGAAATGGTTTGACGTGAAGCTTCTGGTTGACACGCAGAACAAGGACTTCACAGTGGAGATGCAGCACGATACATACAGCACCCACATCCAATCGGTTCTGAAACGGCTGGGCCTTCCCCAAAACAAGTTGCTTCACCTTGGAAGGAATGTTGGAGCCAAGAAGCTTGAATTGATGGATGTTACAGCCGAAGACATCAAGCGAATGGGGAACTGGTCACCAAGGGTATTTGAGAACAGCTACTCTGGCAAGATCCCAATGCAACAAATCAGACAGCTGGCTGGTTTCAACAGTACGCAGAACATGTACTTTCTGCTGCGTGGTGAGCTGGAACCGTGTGCAGATCTGCTGGTGCAGAGTCCTATTGGCAAGTGGTGCTACAGTGCGCTGAAAGAAGTGGAAGACATTGATACAGAAGGTGAGCATCAAACAGCAAGGGAGTTTCTTAAGCTCTTATGTGAACTGAATTTGTTTTTCTTCCAAGACTGTGTTGCCATCATGTGCTTGTACCCAGAGAGAGCCGATTGCCCTCTTTTCCAGGAGCTCTCTTGCTTAGAGTCTAAAGAATTTAAAGTAAGTGCGGCGCCCATCCAATTTCTTTGTTGTTCATTCATTATCTCACCACTCCACTCTGATTTGTTCTTAGGATTATAAAGAATACACGAAACTGTGTCTACTAGAGAAGAGCCAGAATCCAGTAGACGCAAACTTGGAAAAGGTACTCCCTGGAGTGCACAGAAGGCTGCAAGTCAACCACAGCGCCATTGCTGAGGTTGAAAGGAAGCTCGAACGGAACACTGGTGAGATCCTCGGTGCTGTAAAAGAGGGCTTCGATCGTGTGGAGCAATTCACGGCTGAAGCAGCCAAGACAGTTACCAACAAGCGAGTAGGAGAGTGCCTTGTTCAAGCTGGGTCGCAGCTGCTCCAGGAGTGTGAGGAGGAGAGTACTCCAACAGGGGAGGAACTGCTGACTGAAGCCGATGTCGATGAGGTGATGCAAGAATGTTCTCCAGCAGGCTCTGTTCGGCGGACTCCCAGAACTCCAAGCTCGCCAATCAGAGCTGCACGTACACCACCATCAGAGACTCCTGCACGTCCTGCTTACGGCCGTGGAGCTTCTTCGGGTACCCCTGAAGACCATCGTGGCTACCAGATGCGTGCTAAGCCCAAATCTCTGGCTGAAGTGTATGATGAGTGGTTTGGTTTGGGTGACTACAATGACTCCATCGGTGGAATATCTGGGAGGAACGACATGTTTGGGGCTGCTTGGAGAAAGCATCTGAACCAGAGCCAGTACAGCCGGCACAACAGACTTGTTGTGGGTATCTGCCGATATGCGAACGATAACAATCTGCAACACAAAGATGTGGTGGCACAGCCAGTGGGAGGAACATTTTCAGTCTGTCAAGGGTAGCATTGGCAACCTCGTGATAGCGCTACAGAACCATGATCCGCCTCTAATCAGCAAGAAGAAAAAGAGATGTAAAACAAATAGTCCTACTAGCTTTACTTGTTACACTGTTTTTTGTGTGGGCGAAGCTCTTCCTCCAAGTCCGCAATACGTAGTGACATCTTTTCCCCCGCACTCGTTAAAGCAGCCACTGTGGCCATCAATTCCCTTTTGGTTGGCTCCTTTTTCCCCGCCGGTTTGATGGGTTTGATAGAGGTCAACCAGATCCTCTTAACTCCTTGACCGCATCCTTCTGGAACAACCTCACACATGCAGGTGCCACAGTAGTACTTGAACTCTCCATAGCGGTATTCCTTGTACTTCCCACCTGTGATCCGAATGCGCTGTCCTCTCTTGTACTCAACCATTGCCTCAAAGTGGCAAGAAGGATTCGATTCACGATACTGTTGTTGCCGGTACTGTAGCTAGCTAGTGTAAAGGTACGAAATCTCTAAATGAAGCCCAAAAAGTGACCTCAAGATCGTCTTTTCGCACACTACGGTAAACCGGATTAGCGTTTTTGTCTTAGCGATAAGTACCAGCGAGAGGAGCGATAAGTAACGATTCTCTTTGGGGAAGCCTGTCGAACCACCAACGAACCTCCACAGGTCACCTTTCGCGCCAATCCACCAATGACACCGCCCTTCAACAACCCCTCCAACCAAGAGACCGCACAATTTCAAATCAATCCAAACCAAACGGCTACATCTAGAAACATGGTTTTCCCTGTTGGAACCCGACTTTGGATTAAGGGTGGTACCTACAAGCATCATGTGGCGGAGTACCGGAGACAGTGTGGTACTTACTATAGTTTGGTTGAGCTGGTGGAAAACAACAGGCTTGTGAAGGTTCGCTTCAACAACATTCAACTGATTCTGATTTCCTCTCGGGAAGCCGCAATTCGAGGTCGCCAAGTCGCAGCAAGGATTGCCTACCAGGAAAATGTGGATGTTGATGAAATCGCGGCTATGGGTGCCTGGGCTCAAGTTCCTGTATTGGATCCATCCCTCCCTCTCAATCCAAGCAGGCGCGAACATGTCATCCAACGTATTTTGGGAGAGGAGATCGATGAGCACCAGCTGAAGGAAGAAAAGCGAGCCCATGAAGAGCTCAAGAATGATTTTCGTGAAGTGCTTATGATGTGTGTCAACGAAAAGGAAGGCAGCGACCCTTAGACTATAGTAGTTAAAATCTAGTAGTGTTGTGTTTTCGAAAACGTAACAGTTGATTTGAACGCCATTGTCGGGTTTCTCGTTTGGTAGCCTTGTTTGGGATGGAATTGGTATAGAACATAACAGTAGCACCATCTTTTTACCAGCGAATGTACAGTACACAGTTACTTAACTCTAGATCTTGCGAAACTTGCCCAAGCATGACTGGGTGTCCGAAACGCGATGTTTCAATGCGAACTGTCAGTACTGGCAAGTACGTCAGTCGATAAAGTTCCTTTTAGCGAATGGCCTGTTACCTGGTGGATTGAACCGGGATTGGGAGGCCGTTCAGATTCTCGAAGATTCAAATCGATTCAAATCTGCGCCATTCTCACAAGAGCCGCCAGCAAGGCCCTGTATGTGGAAGCAGTACCAGCACAGAAGCCAATAGTCGTTATCAGACCGCTGCCTAAAGGTGGCCGACTGCTTAAAATTCAGTTTTGCACAGGTAGAATCTGTACTGAGTCCCGGTCCCTTTCCAATCCCTACGATTAAGCATACACTTAATTATTAGGGTTGTCAATGGTTCGTTAATTTCACCGGTTAACACATCTCGGTTGCCAACGGGTTCACGTCTGGAATAACGGTTGGCGGTTCACGTCTGGAATAACGGTTGGCGGTTACGAGCCGGGTGGACATGGCTAGTTGCGTTCTAGCAGAACTGTCAAAATACTAGCAAAATCCGCATACAGAGTTGGAACAGAAACTAAACTAGCTACCGTACCACAATTTTCGGTGTTTTATTCTGCACAAACGTTTCTTAGAAAGGACGGAACACAAATACCACAATAATATTGCCACTCTGATGCTGTCAGACAACTTTCTAAATGAGGTAGATGCGGTAAACATTTTAACCGTTGGATTACCGCAACTACCAATCTAAAGATTCTTCCGCGACCGTCAACCAACGATTTCTGATGCCGATTCGGCATATCTATCATTGAACTTCTACTAGCTAGCTAGAGAGGTCTCGGCATGTCAATCAATTGCGAAAGGGAAGATACCGGTAGACATCAATCCTCTGCGAGAAAGCAAAAGAGGGTTTTGGCGTTGTCTACCATATTGAAAACGAGAATGATACCACCAACGCCATCAATCGCGCTACTGGCTGTCTGGTGGTGTCTGTCCTTGTCTCAGCTTCAGATAATATTTATTCATGCCTTCCAACCAATCATCACAAGCAATGCTCTGCTATCAACTTCATCTATAGCAGACCCCAAGTTTCAATCACCATGGCTACCAACTGGTACTGGTAGTACCACCATGACCACTACTTTATATGCCACAAGAGGAAGACCCAAAAGGACTGAAGCAACCAAAGAACAGCGTAAAATAGCAATCCAAAAGAGACTCAAAATGACAAAGAAGGAAATTGATAGTTTGGTAAAAAGGTGGCCGGTATTGCTAGCATGCAGAGAAGAAAATATCCTACAAACAGCAGACTGGATCCAACATTATCTACAACTCAATTACAAGACACTAAAGAAGATTGTCATCACAAATCCTTCCATCTTGGGCTATAGTGTCACAATGCTAGAGGGGGAAATGAAGTACTATCAGGAAACATTTGGTTGGACCAGCAAAGAACTAACAAAAGTCTTGACTGCTTTTCACCTTATGAGTTTATCCGTTGAAGAGAACCTTGGGCCAAAGCGAAAATGGCTCCAAAGAGCATTAAATGTTACCAATGATGACATCTCCAAACTCATCCAGAAGAACCCAGTAGTGCTAACCTGGATGACATGGTTGACAGATTGGAATTCCTCCAGGACCAGTTGGAACTCAATTCCACCAAAGCAAAACATGAATTTGTTGGGAAAGCTCCAACTATCTTGACCTTCACAAAGGACCTCTTGGAGGAGAAGATTATGAGGTACCAATTGTCTTCCCTTGGCCTCACAAAAAGGGAAGTGGCCAAAGTGATTAGGAAGCAACCCACATTGCTTGGCAGTAGCATTGAAAACAACTTGGAACCTTCACTGAAGTGGCTTATTGATCGATTTGGCCAGTCCGCAGCAGAAAAGATGGTGACAGCTCTACCTGCCATTCTGGCATACAGCGTGCGAAACAAGCTGGAGTCCCAGATGCAGTATTTCCAAGAGCGTTTCCCATTGGATGATGATGAGCTTGTGAGCTTGGTGTCGGAAAGACCACAGCTATTTACGGTTGCCCAAAGCACCATGGAGGAAAAGATACAATTTTTTATAGAGTTTGTGGGAGGAGGGGAGGCGGATGCAATGGAGCAGATCCTTCAATGCCTGGTTGCTTTGACTTATAGCCTCAAGAAACGGCTGCGATCAAGGTGGGAAGAAGTATTGGAGCTTGAGCTGCCACAGCATGGATTCACAGTACCAATGTCCAGTTTGGCAAGTTATCCACCAGCTCGATGGGAAAAGTATTTGGACCGAAGAAGGAAGCTCATAGTTGAAAGAAAGGCAGAACACCAGTCATTCTAAAGTATGTAGTTTGGAGTTTTCCTGGCTAACTATTCTCTTGCCTACACAGGCTGGTATTTGTTATGGCTCCGCATGTCTTTGTCTATCAGCCAGAAAGTCTGCCACTCGTTTAAGTTTCTGTGGATCCCGCAAATAAGCCAAGCCCTTTGGCCCGGTGTTGGCCCTCAACTTGTCGCCCCTGATCCCAGGCAACCCAGTCCCGAATTCCGGCTCTTCTTTGCCAAAGCCTGGCCCCTCCCTGGCTACAGTAGAGAGTTTCTACTCTGAAACCCCCATTAAAACGAATGCCCATATTGCATGCTGGTATGGTAACTATCAACCTATCATATACACTCACCATACATAGACTGCCAACACGTATCCCATGCACAGCACGTACTGCATGTATCATTATTGCTCTCTATTGATTTATTGTTGATTACATACATGTACTCAAATGAATTTTTCTTCAATGGACATTGTGAATTTGACAGTTTCATCGAGATACGTCAATCCCTTTTTGTGTGTGGACAATGCCCAAATATTGTTCATGGTCTGTAGGGATGATCGATCATCGAGCATGACTTTGCCCCATGCTGTGTGTTGCGTCCCCCAAAACTTGGCTGGTTTGGCATACCAATCAATGAAAAAGTCGGGGCCCGTGCCTCCTCCGGCCCATGCGACCATGCCATGTTCCATGATGGGTCCATGACAATTGTCTTTATATTCTCCAGCTAATTCGGATGGACAGTCTCCCAGATGCACTTTGGTGGGAGGTGGATGATCGGGATTTTTGATGATTCCCTGTAGAATGCCCAAATGTTCGGCGCGGTAAAAGGCACACCGAGGACATTCTCCCGATTTTACCATGTCTCGAATGTACTGGACACTGGAGGGAGATAGATTGGGGAGCAATACGATCTTGAGAGTCCCCCAGTCGGTTTTGAGGACCAGTGTTTGTCGAGGTCCTTTGTGGACGTTGGCAGGAGGTTTGTGGTTTTCGTCTTTTGGTTCTATTGGTTTTGCCTTTTCTATTGGTTTTGCTTCTTTTTCTTTTTCTTGTGGTGGTGATTTGACCGTTTGTTGTGGTTGTTGTCTTAGTTGTTGTTCATGATGCTGATGCTGATGATGATGAACGGCATTATTGAGTGCATTGACGTACAAAGAAAAGAAAATCAAAAAGACCGTGGCCAAGACAAACCCCACAAACGCCCAAGGAATGGATCTTCCTTTCCGGTTCGTCTCGCCCTTGCGTCTACTCAACGCAGAAGAGGCAGAAGAGAATAGGACCATGGTTATATATGGCAATGGCTGGAAAATGGGGATCTAGAGTAGTACCGTACAAGCGAATAGGGGTAACATATATGGAAACCATTGACCAAGTATTGACCAAGTACAAAAACCAAAAGTCATGACAATTGATGGCCATGGGGCCAGTATGGAGGCAGAATTGCCAAAAGACGAAGGAAAGATCCATTGAAGATCCATTGAAGATTCGATTCGATTCGATTCGATTCGATTAAATCAATCATTCATTTCGATTGAATCAATCATTCATTTTCATCTCTAACCCTAAGACTAAACAAATGCCAACAGGGTTGATCGTGCAACTGACGTCAGTCACACCAGTTCCAGTCAGACAGTTCCAGTCAAAATTGGTTGGAAGAAACATCGGCATCCCAGTGGCAGCATAAAACCAAAGAAGCAACTCCAGTGGAAGCAACCATTTTGGCTCTCCACACCCAACAGTGTTACCCTCCGAGTCATTATTTTATTTCATCTATTATCTTATCGTATCTATTCCAACAATAAATAAATCCACCATGGGCATTTGCATGAGTAAAACGGGAATCTTCATGAACCCCGAAGTCAAGGTAGCCGGTGCCGACGTCAAGAGTGCAGGATTATCGGGCGTTACACTGAATGTCACGCTCATGGCCGGCAATCCCAATCCGGCGGATTTACCCGCCACGCGCATCATTTACTTTTTATCAAAAGGATCCGATGGAGCTTCTCTTTCGGATGGAGTCTCGAGACAAAAAGTCACGTTAAAAGCAGGAGATACCACCCGCATTGTCGTTCCCATGACCTTCAAGTTTTGGGGATTGGGAGCGGCTGGCAAGTCCATTGTGACCAGAGGCAGAACCACCATTCACATCAAGGGAGAAATCACCTTTGAAGCACCCATGGCTCCAGGAGGGACTGCCACAAGTCCTTTTGAAGATACAGTAGAAGTCGCCATGGAATCACTCATGGGATCTGGAAGATAGCACTTCATGATAACACTATGATAGAAACAACAATACACAACAATACACAACAAAACAGCAATCACTTCTCCAAAATTGAACACAATTTTTGAAACCTACCGGTACTGGGATGAAATGGCATATCGGTCCAGAGGCGACTGAGTCGAGTCATCCTTGTGACAAAGCGAAGGAAGCTGCCAATTGTTTTTTTTGACCACCGTCACACACAGGTGTGAGGAAATTATGGAGGGTAAAATATCGTTGCTAGATGATGGATGGATTCGAGTCTTTTATAATTTCTCTGCAGTCATGGTGAGCGGTTTTGTTCCTTCGATCTCCCCATCGCCAAGAATATTGATTTTTGTTTTTTACTACATTAAGATTTCCGTACATGCAATCCACTTTTGTCTTGAATCTGATTCTGTCACCGGTTCCTTCTTCCTCGAATGGTCCTCATCGGAAGAAGACACCTACGTCGTAGTGTTGAATAGGAAGTACTTTAGAACCACCTGATACGTAGGACCTTGTCGTCGAAGCTGCTGGGGCACTGGAGTGCAGAATCGAGATCGAGTGGATATCAAATTTGTATGTTTTAGAGCATCTCCCTGTAGCATCCCAAGACACAGCTAGCTAGCTAGATCGATTCGACAACTGTTTTGTCTGCCACACCGATGCTCGGTATAGTCCACAAGCACACTGGGTCAACTCGACTCGGCATTGTTGTGATGTTCCCTTCAGTTAGAAGCAACCATGGACCCATCTGTGTTTGTCGTTCATCCCGTTGCTTATAGCTAGGTTTCAACATGTGAGCAGCAGAAAAGATCTTTGGTGTCCACGATCATGATCATGTTATGCTTGACCAGCCACCGTCCGAAGGACCAAGCTCGGACCTCTACCTTTGCTCACACTTGTTTCCTTTTGGGGAATTCAATCATGGAGAGTTCGTGGAGGTAGTTATCGAGTTGGAGCTCTGTTGAGGGCCGGCAAAAGTTCGTTCACGGTTGCGTGTCCTCGCACGCGGGAACATCTTTGGAGTTGAGGTAGTTGCGGTAAAATATAGTTGCTATACAATAATGCAGAGTACAAAGTAACGTTAACCCTATCTTTACCGCTACCTTCCAGAAACTGTTCAAACATGCTTCAACCCGACGGTTAACTGCTGACCATGCTGCTACACCGATGCGGCCCAAGAACGCCCTCCGACACGCCATTGTTTTGCATAGAGGTATCCATGCTAGCTACCAGCGGCGGCACAATCCTGGATCAATAATATGAGCTTTGGAAAAGGATAGCAGCCAGAGACCGTGGCCTGACCTTTGGCTAGTTGGTGGATTTCGACTATCGTGCCAAGGTTCTCGCCTTGCCGATGCCGTCGACATTTACATTGCTAACATGCGTCGACCGAGGAAAGGAAGGAAGGCTGAGGTTCACAACAAAGAGGGAATCTCATTGCGTGGCTGATGGCTTGGCTTCATAGCAGTCTGTTGACAGGGCATGAAAAAGTAGTAACCAAACACCATTTATTGCTTATATACTCGTTATATCTTTGACAAAACTATCAAACAGAAACAAAAAGCTACAGTTGGACATGCTGGTCATGTCTGGACCATGTGTTTTTCACTCAACATCCTGCAGAGCCAAGTTACATGGGAAAAGACTATGCAGGAGACTTCACGCCTCTACAAAACCAGTGTCTCACAGGAAATCCAATTGATCCCCGCAATTCTTCCTTGACGTTGCCAGACTCTCTTCCACATCTTTCGGTGTCAAGTTCACAGAGGCCTTGAGGAATTCAATGTATCTCTCATACTCCCCTCTCAGGGCCCTGCAGAGCTGGACTCTCCCTTCTTCACTCAATTCATTCGGAACGGGAAGAACCACCTTGGAAACATCTCTAGCTTTCTTCTCTGGCCACAACTTAACAGTGTCTTTGGTCTCCCCCAACATGTGGTTCAGGGATTCCCAGTCCTGTACAATCTGCTCTTGCCTTGTTGCAAAAATCACTGTGTTGTTCCACGCCCTCGGTGCCATGTGCTCATAAATGTGCTCCAGATTCCAAAACAAGTGACCCATGGGTCTAACTCGATGGTTCATTGCTGCCCTTGCAAAATTGGTGCAATCCTTCTGATGTAGTCCGTTGACAGAATCACTCAGTGGATACCTGTACTTGCGGACATCATTGCCATCGCCCAAGTGCTGCACAAACTGCTCCAGGGTGGGAAAGCATTTGGTTAGAGTGCCCATGTTTCCCTTGTGGTTCTTCTTCAGCAACTTCCTCCACTCCCTGTCCTTTATTCCCAAGATTCTATCATTTGCTGGGTGGCCATAGACAAAACCCGACCTGGTCCTTTCATACGGGTCCCGTAGAGTGACAATGTAGAAGTCATGCACTTCTTTGCCCAGGTTGGGGAAGTCTGGCAGATGGAAGTAGTATCGTGTCTTTACCGATGCCATCGTCTCATTCTCACTGTTCATGATCGTGTGCCAGGGACATGGTTGAGGCAGGAACTGATGACATCCATGCCTCAGAAAACCAGCAAGAGTGCTTCCACCCGTCTTTCCCAGATGAATGAAGGCACCATTCTCCAAATTCTTATAATCAGCTGCGCTGGCATCAACAGAAATTGAGGACGCCGCCTTTTTGGCAGAAGGGTCATCCGATAGACTACGCTGGTTCGATGCACCGTCCGCATCTGCGCCAACACTGCCCATTATGGAAATGCTGGAAGGGAGGTTCAGAAACTCCAGCTGGTCACCGCAACTCTTCCTGGCTAGGACAAGACTCTCTTCCACATCCTGCGGACTTAGATTGGCAGATGCCTGAAGAACCTGGATGTATCGCCTGTATTCCCCTCTCAGGGCACGGCACAATTGGATCCTTCCTTCTTCACTCAATTTATTGGGAACTGGAAGCGTGGTTTCGTCCGCGCTGCCCATCTCCGGCGGCCAAAGCTGTGTGGTATCCATTGTCTCCCCCAGTAGTTCATTGGTAGATGCCCAGTCGGCGACGAGATGCTCTTGTCGTGTGGTAAAAATCACAGTCCCATTCCACGCCTCCTCCATGCGCTCGTAAATGTGCTCCAGGTTCCAAAAGAGCTTTCCCAACGGTCTGACTTTATGATCCATGACAGCGCGGGCAAAGTCGGTACAATTCTTTTGGAGGAGAAATAATTTCTTGGCATCCCCATTGTACACGTAATTGTGCACGTCATTGCCATCTCCCAAATGGGCGACAAAGTTCTCCAATGTATCAAAACACTTGGTCAATTTGGCCAGGTTGTTGCTGTAGAGTGGTCGGGCCAACATTTTGCCCCAATTGGGATCGGGGACGCCCAGAGCCTTTTCATTGGCCGGATGGCCGTGAACAAATGCCGCCTTGGTTCGCTCGAACGGATCGCGCAATGACACCATGTAAAAGTCATTGGGTTCGGTTGTGGGTGGTAGACGGTGGAAATCAGGAATGTGGTAATATTGTTTCGTTTTGATGGAGACAATGGTTTCGTTGTGGATATGTTCCTTGTTGGGGCATGGTTTGGGCATGAACGAGTGGCATCCATATTTGAGGAATCCAGACAAAATGTCTCCTCCCGTCTGACTCAAGTGGATAAAGGCACCCGTTTTCAAATGCGCATAGGCGGCACTCTCGTTCGGTTCCGCATGCTTGCTGCTGGATAATGCCGTGCTGGGAGAACCCGTCGGCATCGTGTAAGCAGATTTCTTGACGGTTGCGGTGGCTTTGGCCTTGTTTGGCAGATGCGACCCTTTGGGTACTGTTGCTTCCGGCTGTGGGGTATGGTCCGGATTGGCGAGTACGGCCGCCAGTGGATCTTTTGCATTCAAAAAGTCGAGTTGATCCCCACAGCTCTTTTTCGCGAACTCGAGGCTGTCTTGTCGGTCTTGTGGTGACAGATTGACCGATGCAAAGAGGTATTCCACATATCGTTGATACTCGCCACGCAATGCCCGACAGAGCTGGACACGCCCCTCTTCACTCAATTCGTTTGGCACGGGGAGTTGTACTTTGGAGACATCTCGTACTTTCTTTTCGGGCCAAAACTTTGTGGTATCCTTGGTTTCTCCCAACATGTGATTGAGGGATTGCCAATCTTGTGCCATGTGTTCTTGTCGTGTGGCAAAAATGACCGTCTGGTTCCATGCGGCATTCATGCTTTCGTAAATATGCTCTAAATTCCACTCGAGGTGTACCATGGGTTTGATCCGGTGGTTCATGGCGGCCCTGGCAAAATTGGTGCAATTGTCTTGAAACAGGATCATGCGTTGTTTGGGCAACCAGGGGTATTCGAAATTCCGATAGGCATTGCCATCTCCAATGTTTTGCACAAATTGCTCTAGAGTGGGAAAACACTGCATGACCTTGTCCATGTCCCACTTGTTCATTTTGAGGACGCGTTGCCAGCCTCGATCGTGGAGTTTGAGCGTTTTATCATTTTTGGGATGACTGTAGACAAAGGCGGATTTGGTACGCTCCAAAGGATCCCGGAGTGTGACAATGTAGAATTCTCGTACGGGATGAAAGGGTAACATGATGAAATCGGGAATGTGATAATAGTGTGGTGTTTTGAGCGATGCCTGTGTTTCCTGGTCGCTATCAATAATGGGATGATTCTCACAGGGGTGAGGCAAAAAAGAATGACAGCCATCGCGGAGGAGACCGGCTAGAGTGGAACCCCCCGTTTTTCCAAGATGAATAAAGGCACCATCTTTGAGATGCGCGTAGGGAGCCTCCTTGTTGATATCATGAATTGTCGTCTGTTGTGTCTTCTTGTTTTTGCTGCTGGTGGTAGAAGCAGCCAGCGATTTGGCCGCGTGTGGTTTGGTTTGTTCCTTGGCTGGTGGTTTTGTAACTTCTGCCACGAGTTGTGCCGTCAGTTGCAGTTTCACGGGAGTGTCGTCGTCTTCACCTTCGTCAATTTCCACATCGTCCATGGTCATGACTTGGGTCAACGAGACGGGTGCGGGCGTGGGAGTGCTATTATTCCCCCTGAGTTGCAGAGCTCGATCTATTTCAGTGGCAAAAATGAAGTTGGATTTCTTGGTACTGGTAAAGGCGGAAAAGGTCAAATTGGAAATGACGGCTGCCAAAATAACCACCGAGACAAACAGAGAGCGAGGCATCTTGGAGGCACTATTGCCAATGTCGCTGGCTGTTCTGCTAATAGACCAATTCTTGATCCGACCGGGAGGATCAGGACGTGTCTTACTAGCACTTCCTGGAGGGGCTGCCATGGCCATCGTGTTCAGAGCTTCGCTGCTCTTTCGACTTGTCGTCTTCATGGCTGAGCACAATAGATAGATAGATAGAATGGATTGGTTATCGATATTGGGTATCTGAGCTCTGTTTGCCCTGCTTTTTTTGATCGACCTTGTTATGGTTGCCAATGCAACCACGCATGCTGGAAGGTTTCGATTCGATTCCGTTGCGATTGGTTACCAGTTGGTACTATGACTGTAGTGACTCTGGGTAGGTCAGAATGACCATGGGCATTTTTCTATGACTACGGAACGGATATTCGATGACCATGGTCGACAAAACTGGAAAAGCCCCAAGGACGAAAACCACGACGAGCGCCGACAAGCGGCGCTCGCCTAGAGCAGCACAGCACGACTAGTTGAGTAGAGTAGTAGGATAGGGTGGTGGAGAGACTCGGCCATTTACTGAGCCGACCGTCTCCGCAACCCAGGGGTGCCGCGCCGCTCGTGATTGCTAGAACCCGAGCGGGAACCAAGGCACGAATGAGGCAGTCCCGCGGGATGTGAGTCCCGCGTGATTGTGCGACATTCGGCCAACCAGGGAGGGAGAGGTGGGTTAATCTATTCAAGTTCTTGCTTGCAGCTCGTCTGAAGGAAGAATTGTGAGCAAAGAAGGAGACAACCTTCTTGCGATCGACAGTTCAATGGCTGAAGGAGATAGTTGGACCGGTCTTGCGAGTTGTGTTCATTCAAGGTTGCTATCTGTGAGCGGTCTTCGTGGGGTGCTATTGCCTTAGAGTGGATCTTGCGAAAAGGCAGTGGCAATCGACATGTATGTGGGTTATCCATTTCAGGAACGCATGTGATGACCTGTGGAGTGTAGAGATGTACTTTTTGTGTGTGAGCGAAGTGTGGGGGTAGATTCGTATTTTGTGAGATTGTACCAGTCTGGCAACTGTGATTCGAGTCATTCATCGAAGAACCCATGATGGTTCAGGTTTCCACGCCGGTCAGCGTGGATGGATATGGATCGGGATCGTTTGTCTTCTTTGGCGTGCGGCTGCTTCGACAACGAGCGCCGACACGCGGCGCTCGCCTAGAGCAGCACAGCACGACTAGTTGAGTAGAGAAGTAGGATAGGGTGGTGGAGATACTCGGCCATTTACTGAGCCGACAGTCTCCGCAACCCAGGGGTGCCGCTCGTGATTGCCAGAATCCCGAGCGGGAACAAAGGCACGAATGGGGCAGTCCCGCGGGATGTTAGTCCCGCGTGATTGTGCGACATTCGGCCAACCCAATAGCCAAAGGCAGAACAAGGAGGGAGCGTAGCGGGGTGGGATAAAAAAAAAAAAAAAAAAAAAAAAAAAAAAAAAAAAAAAAAAAAAAAAAAAAGAAAAAATTTTGTTAAAAAAAAAAAACTCAGTAATGGCCGAGTCTCTCCACCACCCTATCCTACTACCTACTCACCTAGTCGTGCTGTGCTGCTCTAGGCGAGCGCCGCTTGTCGGCGTTCGTTGTCGAGCAGCCGCACGCCAAAGAGACAAACGATCCCGATCCATAATCCATCCACGCTGACCGGCGTGGAACCTGAACCCTCATGGGGTCTTCGATGAATGACTCGACTCACAGTTGCCAGATGGTACATCTCACAAAATACGAATCTACTCCCCACTTCGCTCACACACAACAAGTACATCTCTACACTCCACAGTCATCACCTGCGTTCCTGAAATGGATACCCCACATACATGTCGATTGCCACTGCCTTTTCGCAAGATCCACTCTAAGGCAATAGCAACCCACGAAGACCGCTCACAGATAGCAACCTTGAATGAAACAACACGCAAGACCGGTCCAACTCTCTCCTTCAGCCATTGAACAGTCGATCGCAAGAAGGTTGCTCCTTCTCTGCTCACAATTCTTCCTTCAGCCGAGCTGCAAGCTAGAACTAGAATATGATTAACCCACCTCTCCCTCCCTGGGTTGGCCGAATGTCGCACAATCACGCGGGTCACATCCCGCGGGACTGCCTCATTCGTGCCTTGGTTTCCGCTCGGGATTCTAGCAAACACGAGCGGCACCCCTGGTTGCGGAGACGGTCGGCTCAGTAAATGGCCGAGTCTCTCCACCACCTATCCTACTACTCTACTCAACTAGTCGTGCTGTGCTGCCCTAGGCGAGCGCCGCTTGTCGGCCTCGTCGCTGTGGTTTTCGCCTTGGGGCTTTTCCAGTTTTGTCGACCATGGTCATCGAATATCCGTTCCGTAGTCATAGAAATGCCCATGGTCATTACCTACCCAGAGTCACTACAGTCATACCAAACGTAACCAATCGCAACGAATCGAATCGAAACTTCCAGCATGCTGGTTGCATTGGCACCATAACAGGGCGATCAAAAAAAGCAGGGCAAACAGAGCTCAGATACAAATCGGATAACCAACCTTCTATCTATCTATCTATTGTGCTCAGCCATGAAGACGACAAGTCGAAAGAGCAGCGAAGCTCTGAACACGATGGCCATGGCAGCCCCTCCAGGAAGTGCTAGTAAGACACGTCCTGATCCTCCCGGTCGGATCAAGAATTGGTCTATTAGCAGAACAGCCAGCGACATTGGCAATAGTGCCTCCAAGATGCCTCGCTCTCTGTTTGTCTCGGTGGTTATTTTGGCAGCCGTCATTTCCAATTTGACCTTTTCCGCCTTTACCAGTACCAAGAAATCCAACTTCATTTTTGCCACTGAAATAGATCGAGCTCTGCAACTCAGGGGGAATAATAGCACTCCCACGCCCGCACCCGTCTCGTTGACCCAAGTCATGACCATGGACGATGTGGAAATTGACGAAGGTGAAGACGACGACACTCCCGTGAAACTGCAACTGACGGCACAACTCGTGGCAGAAGTTACAAAACCACCAGCCAAGGAACAAACCAAACCACACGCGGCCAAATCGCTGGCTGCTTCTACCAACAGCAGCAAAAACAAGAAGACACAACAGACGACAATTCATGATATCAACAAGGAGGCTCCCTACGCGCATCTCAAAGATGGTGCCTTTATTCATCTTGGAAAAACGGGGGGTTCCACTCTAGCCGGTCTCCTCCGCGATGGCTGTCATTCTTTTTTGCCTCACCCCTGTGAGAATCATCCCATTATTGATAGCGACCAGGAAACACAGGCATCGCTCAAAACACCACACTATTATCACATTCCCGATTTCATCATGTTACCCTTTCATCCCGTACGAGAATTCTACATTGTCACACTCCGGGATCCTTTGGAGCGTACCAAATCCGCCTTTGTCTACAGTCATCCCAAAAATGATAAAACGCTCAAACTCCACGATCGAGGCTGGCAACGCGTCCTCAAAATGAACAAGTGGGACATGGACAAGGTCATGCAGTGTTTTCCCACTCTAGAGCAATTTGTGCAAAACATTGGAGATGGCAATGCCTATCGGAATTTCGAATACCCCTGGTTGCCCAAACAACGCATGATCCTGTTTCAAGACAATTGCACCAATTTTGCCAGGGCCGCCATGAACCACCGGATCAAACCCATGGTACACCTCGAGTGGAATTTAGAGCATATTTACGAAAGCATGAATGCCGCATGGAACCAGACGGTCATTTTTGCCACACGACAAGAACACATGGCACAAGATTGGCAATCCCTCAATCACATGTTGGGAGAAACCAAGGATACCACAAAGTTTTGGCCCGAAAAGAAAGTACGAGATGTCTCCAAAGTACAACTCCCCGTGCCAAACGAATTGAGTGAAGAGGGGCGTGTCCAGCTCTGTCGGGCATTGCGTGGCGAGTATCAACGATATGTGGAATACCTCTTTGCATCGGTCAATCTGTCACCACAAGACCGACAAGACAGCCTCGAGTTCGCGAAAAAGAGCTGTGGGGATCAACTCGACTTTTTGAATGCAAAAGATCCACTGGCGGCCGTACTCGCCAATCCGGACCATACCCCACAGCCGGAAGCAACAGTACCCAAAGGGTCGCATCTGCCAAACAAGGCCAAAGCCAACGCAACCGTCAAGAAATCTGCTTACACGATGCCGACGGGTTCTCCCAGCACGGCATTATCCAGCAGCAAGCATGCGGAACCGAACGAGAGTGCCGCCTATGCGCATTTGAAAACGGGTGCCTTTATCCACTTGAGTCAGACGGGAGGAGACATTTTGTCTGGATTCCTCAAATATGGATGCCACTCGTTCATGCCCAAACCTGCCCAACAAGGAACATATCCACAACGAAACCATTGTCTCCATCAAAACGAAACAATATTACACATTCCTGATTTCCACCGTCTACCCCACAACCGAACCAATGACTTTTACACGGTGTTC